CGGGATAAAACACCAAGGCCTTCATCCTCATCCTCATCAAAATCCAGATCAGATCAGATCAGATGCCGAATGACCGATTTAAAATGAAAGAAAGAATTATAAGACATCTACCGAAAGGACGAGTTCGATTTTTATCAGCCCATCAAAGCAAGGATGTGAAGGTAAGAATGGACTAAATGTATTTTAGTCTTTATTTCTTCAATCGAGTTCAACGCTTTACAATATTCTAGAGGAATGGGAAATTACTTACAGGTAGCACTGCGCATGCTCGACACTCTAAAAACAAATATGAGGAAATAAACTTTGGCATTGCATTGTAGTCTGCACAAACAGACTCATTAAAAAAATATCAAAACACAGAGCCCTAGTAGATTTACAACAACAAGTGCTCGGGTCAATATGGGGTTCGGCCCAAATATTGCAACAAAAGGTTTTACAACTGTTTACGGTAGTGTTTGACACCAGGAACACAAACTAACTATCTAAGAAAATTGAACCCCCGATTTTTTTCTCCTTTTCAAAATGACGTCAAGGATGGCCGCCAATACCTTTAAAAGAGCCATCAATCGTGAAACATCCATCTTAGGGTCGAAGAATCCATACATACTACTTAAAGTAGATATTCATTGAATTTAAAAACTAACTTTATTTTCATTATCGCAAAGTTGAAACTTTGATTCGACAAGGTGATCAAAATTCAATGTTTGGAAACATTCGAAGAACTGATTATTATAAATTACAAAACGCTTAAATACAGCCCCGGCATAGCACCTGAAGAGCTCTTCGAATGTTGCTGAGATGTGTGAGATCACAGTACGGACATGATTTGCACAAGCAGACGATGTCCCATGACATCTCATACAATTTCAGTGCCTGTGTTTTCATCTTCTCTTGAGTTCTTTCTCTTACTTCACTACCGTCACACTAAATGTATAATCTATTGCCTTACTCTGTAAACCCCGCGCATGGTTTTATTTTGATGACAAATGCAGCGATACAAAAATAAAGGAGTCTGTCGCTTGTAAACAAAATAAGACGCCATTATTCACCTGTACACACCGCGGTATGTTCGGCGTTTCAAGAGGGAACAAATGCCGTCCTTAAAGGTACTTGTCCCTTGCGCAGGCCAAAAAATGAAAAGGTTAAATTCCAATGGCATTTGAAAGATAATACTCAATAGGCCATTTTCGTAATGTAACCAAATGTAATGCATAAGTCTTTGTGAAGTGCCTCAATACAAATTATTTCATTCACCTGGTAAGAATAATAGTATTTCAATAGACATAATTCAAACTGCATACATTAGTTGTTGCCAGGTTGGACAAACATTATGGCTTGACCTACCTAGCAACACTTGATATATGCAGTTTGCATTCTGTCTATTGAAATACTATTATTCTTACCAGGTGAATGAAATAATTTGTATTGAGGGACTTCACAAAGACTTATGCATTAAATTTGGTTACATTACGAAAATGGCCTATTAGAACTCCCCTTAAAAGAATGGGGCTTGAAAATGTTTTTTAAGTGGGAAAACAACGACTATTAGTTGTCAAATCGACTTAGGAGCTATAGAGCCAATAAGTAATAGTCTTGATTTGCAGACCATTGTACCGCATGGTTGTACGTTTTATGATGCGCAAAGATTCAATCAGTTTAATTTTGGCCATTACAAAAAGTGGGTTATTGTAGTAGACAAATCCTTTACAGCTCATTTTAAATATGTTATTACCAAAGAAGAAGAAAAAGCCAGCCAGTCACTCAATACTGACAATAGTGTCTGACAGTGAATTCTAGCAAGTAAACGGGTTTTCTTGCATAATTTGAATATAAGAACACTGCTAACGTTTAAATTTCACAGATGGGATATACATGACATATTCATAATTCCTGCAAAGTTCTACAGAATTTGAGGTTGGCTGCAAAAGGAACATAGTATCTTTGATATCATTCCGGGGGGGGGGGGGTTTAATTTGAAAGTCTGGTTTCTTTGATTGTTAATTAACCCCATTCCTGTGTTTTTAAATAAATTAGGAATTTAGATATGTGAAATCAGATGCAATCGGTAGAAAAGGGAGAGAGAGATAGGGAAAGAAGAAAAAAGGAGAGATACGGAGAGGAAGAGATTGAAAGATTGTGAAGAGGGATAGAAAGAGGAGAGAGGGGAAAAGAGGGTGAGAGAGAGAGAGAGAGAGAGAGAAGGGAGAGAGAGAGGAGAGAGAGAGAGAGAGCTATAGGATCTAACTACCTATCATGTATGTTATAAATCGTAAAAATCTTTAAGTTTCTGAAGAAACTTAAACTTCAAGGTGTCACATGCACGCATCTAAATAAGCCTAGTTTTCCCTTTAAAAGCACCAGAAGGGGAGGTTAATCTCTTTCAAAACAGATTGTGTTTTAAAGTGCATTTTATGAAAGTCTTATTAAAAGGAAAATGAAGTGAAGAGAAAAAGGGAGAGAGATAGAGAGAGAGAGAGAGAGAGAGAGAGAAAGAGAGGGAGAGAAAAGAGGGAGCCTAGGAGATCGTACTACTTACATTTAAATGTATGTTAAACATCGTAACAGTCTTTAAGTTTTTGAAGAAATGTTCATATCAACCTTGCATGCTATCAGATGCATGCATCTAAATATAGTTTAGTTTTTCCTTGAAAAGCACGTGGAATGCAGTATAATCTTTTACAAAACGAATCGTGTTTTTTAAATTTGCAACTTTGTAAGTCCTATTAAAGGGGATGTGTGATCGAAATACAAAGAGAAAGAGAGAGAGAGAGAGAGAGAGAGAGAGAGATAGAGGGAGAGAGAGGGAGAGGGGGGGGGGAGGGCAGATCAGAGAAGGGAAGTTTTGGAATATATTTTTTTCCTTCATTAATCTACCCTAAAATAGACTCAAAGCACACTCACACCAATCCATTTCCCTCGCTTACAATATCTCCCACAGTACCTGGGGGTGGGAAGGGGGGGGGGGTGGAGTAGCGGGCGTTAGGCCTACTCCATCCTACCCACACATTTGCCATCCCCACCTTACACTCACCCTCCCACTGTCTTCCTCCATACACCCCACATGGGTTCAAAAGCCAGGAAACACATACATCGGAAGCAAAACAAGGAACTTGGCGTTGTGTTCAATTTATTGCAAAAGTGCCATGGGAAATTCACGAATTCTATAAATAAAAATCTTACATAATATGTAATATATAATATGAAATTACGTTGTGCATACTATGTGCAAACATTAAAACAATTACCAGCCCATATGATAATCAGGCTACAAATGAAACAAAGTTTAGGCTTACATAGACTATCACGTTTTCTATTAATTGTGTAGAAACAATTCGACAATTTTTAATTTTAACACATTCGAAAATTATACTTCTAACCAGGCGCGTACGCAGGGGGCGGGGTTGTGGGGGGGGGGGGGGTACCCCCCTTTTTTTGTATGTGTGTTTTTCTGAGCAAACCCCCCTCCCCCCCCCCTTTGCGGATTAAAAAAAAAAAAAAAAATGCCAATGGTTGACCTAAAAAAGTGACCTTACCCCCCCCCCCCTACGGAGCAAAATGTCAATTTTTTCAACTTTCGAGACCCCCCCCCCCCCCCCCCAAAAAAAAAAAAAAAAAAAAAAAAAAAAAAAAAAAGTGGCCTCCTACCTTTATTTATGACTGTGCGTGATCATAATTATCATCTATCGATATCTGTTCAAATATTTATTTTGTTTAACCTCCCCACCCGCTCATATCGTGCACATTTTTAAATTTTACCATTAACTAAAATTTTGCGACTACAAAGAACTGATGAAATTGATTGTTGTGAAAACTTACCTACAATATATACATTATGAAAAAACGAAATTTCCGTTTTACAACGCACTCCTATCATATCAAGTGATCTATGTTAGCGTAAAAATACATTTCTATGATGAACAAAAGGTATCCTGGATAGTCAAAGGGGATGGGGGATATTACAAGACGCCGAAGGACTAACACTATGAACAGTATTATGATCTAGAGAGCATGTTTGAAAGTAGTCCAGAATCTGCCCGATTTCATTTTGATCTCCAGCCCATCATACAGCGTAATGCCACCTTCCCCTACTGCCAGCCGAACTATTGCGTTTTTCTTAGGCTGGGCCATAGTGCTACTGCCACAGAACTGTAAATTACGTATTTTACAGTTCCGTGCATTGGGCTGGGGAACGTAAGAGTTCGTTGATAACGCCATCTTCGGCGGGTTGAATCACGTGTAGGGAATAAAGAACCGGTCATATTCTGGACTAGTTTGAAATAGGAATTGACCACATTATTTTCTTTTTCTAGTCATCATGCTAAAAGATATTATCATACATGAAGACCATCTTTGATTATTACGACTATGTACCGAGAAGGAAGAGGTAATATTCTGGGTAGATAGTTTCCCATGTCACCTGGCTCTGTTCCTGGACAGAAGTAAACCTCGGTGGAAAATCATATCAATCCTATAAAGAAACGAGTTCCTCTCGGGAAACCTTGTTTGAATGTCAAGCCATTTTGGAGATTCGTATTGTATCCCGATTCTGCGTGGAAATTGTCCCGCGATAGAGCCTTTTGTAACGGGTCCGGCTATTATTTCTGGAAAACATGATCGCTAAGACTTTCGGTAAACCAGCTCAAGGACGATTTCCGTATCCAGACACCTACCCCCTAGACATCCACCAGGATAACCACCCTAGTCAACCAACCCCTAGGATGGTTGTCCGGGGGTGTTTGTCCTAGATGATGGTTGTCGATCGTAGGGGGTAGTTGTCCTGGGGTAGTTGTCGTAGGGGGTAGTTGTCGTAGGGGTAGTTGTCTGGAGTAGTTGTCCGGGGGGGGGGGGGTAATTGTCCCGGGGTAGTCGCCCTAGAGGGTAGTTGTCCAAAGGGGTAGATGACTGGGGGGTAGTTATCCGGGGGTGGATGTCCAGGGGGTGGTGTCTTAGAACCGTTAATTTCAATACCTTGTTATACTCGTATTAGGAGTACGTAATACATGGTTGTAATCTTCGCAGACGGACACGGTATCGGAGAGTGCCTTCGGTAGATTTCTCGAAAGTCTTTGCGATCACACTGAGTCCTCCTAATTCACCTTCAATAATCATTATTATAATCAGTCACATTCATTATATATGGGGTCATGTTGGGTCAAGGGTGAGGGGTCAATTCTATCTGGAGATCCAAGCCTCCCAGACTTAGGCTTGCGACCAACGGGCGGCTTCATGGGAGCTTCATACTTGGGACTGGGACCTTCCTGATCATTGCCCTTCGTAAACGACAGATTTGTGTAAACCTGGTCTCCTCCAATGATGTTTTCTGGTACCTCCAAGTCCATGTATATCAGTTCACTATGAGCTTCCTTTCCAAGGGTCTCTGTGGACTTCCTAGAAGGTGAGGTGAGATTCGGGTACGCTGATGCTGCTTCAGGAGAACCTGTTCCCTTTGAAGTAGGCTGTTCACTCGAGTCACTAACCGTCATCCTTTCCAGCTTTCTAAGTCGATGGCACCCATAGAGGCCTAAAAGCAGGAACAGTGCATACGACGCCACCAAGATTGCTCCAAGTACTATAGGATTTCCCGGCCAAATTCGCGACTTTGTCATTCAAATTCGACGGTTTTAGTGCTGTCGGGTATATCTCGGGTTTACATTCCTTTTCTAGATTTTCAATCTATGAAGTTTTCGTTAGAATCTATGTATGTTTCATTCCAATTAATGAACAAATTGCTTCTTTCGCTATTTGGTCATTCGATTTAGCGCAACACGATTTTCTGACATCGCGACGGTGTACTTTTAGCATTCTAATTCATTTCTAGCATTCAAACTATATAGCTCATTCTTTTAAGATCGTTTTTTCATGTGTATTTCATCCTTTTTTATTTTCTTGCATTTATACTCTTTATATACATTTAGATTTATCAGATATTCATCAGCCTTTAAGTTTGATTGTTAAAAAAAAAAGACTTACTGTACATTTAGGAACTTGATGGTCTCAATATTTGTGTAAATTTTCATGTAAGGAAGTTGTTTGTCTTGTGTTTCATCATAAATTTATCACAATTTCATTATGGAGGAAGGGTGCAATATTGTGACTGGGGTAGGTGTTTTCGTGTCACCACTTTTCCGGGGTATTTTTATGAACATGTCCGTTCAGAGGTGCCATATCCCTTGATGTCGCCCCTTCTTTAACTAATGTCTGACTACAAACATATGCTTTGTCCTCAAAATTAATAAATTGAATAACAGAAAAGAGGGGGGGGGGGGGGGAGGAGGGGGTGGGGTAAGAGGACACTTTTTTTTTGGTCTCCAAATATGAAAATTTGACATTTGCTCCGTTGGGGGGAGGGTAAGGTCACCTTCTTTAGGTCAGCCATGGCAATAAAAAAAATTTTTTTTTAATTTAAAAAAAATAATTATTTAGAAGAAAAGAAAAGAAAACACAAACAAAAGGGGGGGGGGGGTTTAGGGGGATTTTAGTAGGGTTACACACATAAGAATACCCCCTGTGTACGCGCCTGGCCACATCAGTTCCCCCCCCCCCCCGACTCCCGGGCGAAGCGCGGAAGCTTCGACGTTTCATTAAAATATTAGAGAAAGAAGACGATTCGTTGTACCGTTCTCGACTCTTAATCCGTGTCTAAATTCAGTTTCCCCCTCCCGCGCGAAGCGCGGAGGCTTCGACGTTTCATTAAATCATTAGCGAAAGAAGGTGATTCGTTGTACCGTTATGACTTTTAATACTCGTCTAAATTCAGTTCCCCCCCCCCCCCCCCTCACCGCGCGAAGCGCGAAAGGTTTTACGTTTCATTAAATCATTAGAGAAAGAAGACGATTCGTTGTACCGTTCTCGAAAATAATTTAGTTTCCCCCTTTTACGTTTCATTAAATCATTAGCGAAAGAAGACGATTCGTTGTATACCGTTATGATTTTTAGTCCTTGTCTAAATTCAGTTTTCCCCCCGCTTTGACGTTTCATTAAATGTTTAGAGAATGAAGACGATTCGTTGTTCCGCTCTCGAAATTAATTTAGTTTCCCCCTTTTACGTTTCATTAAATCATTAGCGAAAGAAGACGATTCGTTGTATACCGTTATGATTTTTAATCCTCGTCTAAATTCAGTCCCCCCCCCACCCGCGCGAAGCGCGGAAGGAAGCTCGGAAGCTTTTACGTTTCATTAAATCATTAGAGAAAGAAGACGATTCGTTGTACCGTTCTCGACTCTTAATCCTTGTCTGAATTTCAAAAATGTTCTTTGTCTATTCCTTTTTCTTCCTACGTCCTTTTCCTTTTTACTCCTCGCTTTTTTGGTCGGGGTTCAGGGGCAGAGCCCGGAAGTTCAGGAGTTTTAGGCATTTAATTACGGTCAGATGAGCATTATTTTGATACCTAATTGTTACAGTGGCAGGTCACTAATTGGCTTGGGGTTCAGGGGGCGGAGCCCCGGAATCTCAAGGGTTTTAGGCACTCAATTACGGTCAGATGAGTATCAAAGGGCCCGTCTAAGGGCTCATGGTTGGGTCCAGGGGGCAGAGCCCCCGGAAGCTCAGAGGTTTTAGGCGTTTAATTACGGTCAGATGAGCATTTTTGATACCTTATTATTTGTGACACTGGCAGGACACTATTTGGCCTGGGGTCCAGGGAGCAGAGCCCCCAGAAATCAGGGGTTTTAGGCATTAAATGACCGTCAGATGAGCATCTAAGGGCCCGCCTTAGGGCCCTAAGTAGGATCCAGGGGGCAGAGCATTTGGGGTTTTTGGCATTTAATCATGGTCAGATAAGTATATTTTGATACCCCATTATAATGTGACACTGGCAGTTAACTATTTTTTCTTTCTCGCTTTCTTTCTTTCTAATTCTCTTTAATATACTTTTTCAAAGAAAGTGTGTGTGTGTGTGTGTGTGGGGGGGGGGGGGGGGGCTCGAGGATCCTGATCCCCGCCGTTCCGCGGGCCCTGATATGTAGGCATCTCAAGAAGCATTTACTTGCCTGGCTGTAAATTTAGGAATTTGTCATTCCCCAACAAACGCATAAAGTGAGGAAAAATCTCGGGAAATTATCTTATTTCAGCATTATTTGTAAACCACCGTTGTGGAATTAGAAATAAACCACGTTTGAATTCTATTTGTCCAAAGCCCCCCCCCCTCCCCTATCAGTACGCCAGTGCCACCCCCCCCCCCCTCCGATCTACACCTTGTTGGCGGGAGAATTGCAAATGATATCCCTTACCTTTCTTCATTCTCTTTTTTTTCTTTCCCTTTCTCTCCTCTTTCCCTTTCCCTTCCCTTCCTTATCTCTCTTTTAGATTTGCTGGGGGGGGGGGGGGGGGGGGGGGAAGGTCATTTTGGTCCCAACCCCGCTCCACACATTGTTGGCGGGATTAACTGTAGTCCAGAATCTGGCCTATTTAATTTTGATCTCCACCACACCAACGCTAACCTCTCCCTACTTACTTGCTCCCAGCCGATGATGGCGTGATCATTAAATTAGGACGCCCTGTGAAAGACTGGGCTGGGCTTGTGATGTTGATAACGCCACCTTCGACGGCTTGAATCAAGTGTGTAGGTAAATTATAAAGGACCGTGCAGATTCTGGACTAGATTAACCGCAACTGATCTCCGCTTCTTTTCTCCCTTTTCTTTTTTTATTCCTCTTTTTTATTCCTTTTAGCTCTCCTCTTTCCCTTCTTTTTCTCTTTTTTTAAGCGGGGACGGGGAGGGGGGGGGGGGGGGGGGAGGCTAGGGCCTTTTGCCCCCCCCCCCCCCCCGATCCACAACTTGTTGGCGGGAAAATTGCAATCCCTCTATTTTCTTTTCTTCTTCCTCTTTTGTCCTTCCCTTTATCTCCTCTTTTTCTTTTTTCTTTTCCTTTCCTTCCTTCTCTTTTATTTTTTGATTGGGGGAAGGGGGAAGGCAACAGCCTGGGAGGAAAGTCCTTCCCCCCCCCGATCTCCTTCTTCCCTCTTTTCTTTTCTTCTTCCTCTTCTTTTCTTCCTTTCTCTCCTCTTTCCCTTTCCCTTCTTTCCCTTCTCTCTCTCTCCTTTCTTTTATCCGGGGGGGGGGGGGCAAGGCCCGCTCGCCCCCCTGGATCCGCGCCTGCATTAAACCATAGAATATGACTTCCAATTTTCAAAAAATCAGTCGGTGATATCGTTTTAGCAAAACATTGTTTTACTGTGGAATTTGCATTAAAACATGGTGAACACCATTACCCTGTTGCGGAGCCCCATTTACACACGACTAATGCGAAATAAAGAGTAATCGATTAAATTTTGATATCTCTTGATACTTTTAATTGATAAAGAAGGTTTCTTGTCGAAAGCGTATAAATATAAGTATCGGTATCATGTAAAATTATTACCGATAATTATTGCACTCTGTCTCGTAAGAGGGCAGTACACGTAGTTTTAACAGACCAGTTAGCGCCGGCGGATCATAAGAACGAGCAGTTGCTACTAGTACAACTCGATCGTGATAAATGTGGGCATGTTTTTCCTGGATTTACTAGCTTCAATGTCTGCCTTGTTTCCATGATTTATATTACCCCTCTCTTGGAATCGCTAAACATTTCTTGTCTACTAGCCTCGTTCACATAAGAGGCGTTTACGCGGTAAGTTTTGGATGGAATGATAATGTTGATTTTTTTTCTGCCCCTTATTATTGTTCGTTACTATTATTTTCATTTAATTATACCCAGCACCTGATTGCATGTTTCTTTGGATTAACATATTTTGGGAGTGAGGTATAAATGTTGACCGTCTGATCAAGGAGCTATCACAGATCGCTGTGAATAGATCGCTGTGATAGCTAGTACCGAACGGTGTACGTTTTGTGCTGCACAAAGATTCAATCAGTTTAACTTTGGCCATTACAAGAAGTGGGTTGCTGATAATTATAACCAGATACTCATGTACCCTTTACAACTCATTTTATGTATGTTATTACCAAAGAAGAAAAAAGCCAGTCAGTCACTCATAGTGTCTGACAGTGAAGTCTTGAAAGTAAACAGGTTTCCTTGCATAATTTGAATATGAGGACACTGCTAACATTTAAATTTCACAGATATGACATCTGTGACAAATTCATAATTCTTGCAAAGTTCTACAGAAG